CTTTGGTGGTTTGTTTATCCTTCTTTTATGCTCATCAATTCTGGTGTGCAATTCCCTGGCACTTTGTCCTAACCTTAACGTAATCGTTGCAGTTAATTTTATACACACAGTCCCTAGTCCTTTCAACCTGCAGGGGATCTTTTAATTGTACCAAAACTGAGCGTAGCGTTTCTACCTTCTGAAAAGCTCCTCAAATGTTGGCTAAGTTCAACCGTCTTCGAATAACCTCCGATGTTCCTGCTTTATATGGAATGACTGCTGTGCCAATCCATTCCTTACTGGGTTTAGATACTGGAACCAATATCCTTCTTAGTTGACACCTTGTCAAACTCACTGGGTATCCTATTTCTTGAAGTTTGTTGGCAATTTCGATTCGAGCTTGCGTTCGGTCAATCTCTTCTGTGCACAGCGCTCTAACTCGACGAAACATCGATGAGACAATGCTGATGTACATGGACTTTGAGTGTGCTGATGAATGGCTTAAGACGGCTCCTGTGTCTGTTGATTTCTGGTATATAGTCGTTTTCAATTTCCCACCAAGGTTATGTGTTATACAGTCCAGAAAGGGTAATGTGCCTGAGGTGGACTCTATTTCCATGCTAAACTTAATGTGTGACAGATTCAGATTTCTTGATGTTCATGTATGACCATTTCCGGGTGAGAAGTATGTGTAAACGCTACAGAAGACCTATGAAACCTGTGCACTTGTCCTATCCATGTAAATATTATGTAAAACTGGGGATACTGGAGATCCCATTGAAAGAACATGTTCTTGTGAGTAAACACTTGTGTCAAAAACAAAATGATCAAGATTCAAACACACTCTTATGCCCTCAACTACTTCATCCACCGAGAGCTGTGTCCGTTCCCGAGTGTCGTGTCTTCCAGGAACAACCTCTTAGTTACCTCCAGAGCATCTGCCCTAGGGATGTTTGTATACACTGATATTACGTCAAAACTCACGGGGACTTCGTCCATCTCCAAAGGAAGCTCTGCGACCTTGCTGGCAAATTCTTACGAATTCCTAATGAAGGTGCTTGATGCCCCCGAGAGCGGATTGGGTATGTTTAACCTAATCAAAGAAATCACCCTCCCTTTGTAAATCACCTCTCAGTTAAAGTATGTACACACCGCTCGTTTTAGTTTGATCGGCCTCGGGCAATCACATATCCTCCATATGAAGTCTGCCGCGAACAGATGTGACAATCTACGTAATGCTACCATCCACTAGATTATATTTGTGGTGGTATCACTTTGAAATTCCATACCAGTTTGGTCAGTCATTAGAAGTTTGATCAACACTGTCTGGAATGTGTAGTGTGAATTGTTCCTTAAAACCTCTGTGGTAGTTTGCCAGCCAGCACTGCTTACAATTCGATTGGCTCTTTTATCCAGAGGCTGTGGTAGAAGGCCATGCTCGCCCCTCCCTTTAAATTTGGACGCCCTAACAGTATTTCACTCTGCGTACAAACGTGGATTCACTCTTATGGCACTTCGGCCATCCAGTGGTGTCATCAGCCGGCTACTTTTACTCACTGCGTACAGAAGGCCCAGTCAGCGGAAATAGCCACTGCTAATTCCACGCTTATTGCTCAATCCTCTTCTGTATACCGGTTCATTGTAAGTACTCTGTCTGTAGGTCCCAGCCTCGTGAATGATGGGCTTATTTTATTTGTTACCCTTAACTTGAACCGTGCATTTCTATCATGGCTAACAGCTATAAACACCTCGGAATTGATCCTAAAACACTAAAAGTCAATCTACTATTGGTTTTGATGCTCTCATTCTGAAACACACAATACAACAAGATTTTGTTGCTCGTACACTGGGTTTCCTTTTCATTTATTGATATGTGGTATCTATCAGAACCAAGAATTCAGGACTCAAGTACTTTGACTGCATCGTTACATTGCTGTCTATCCTGCGGTGCAACTATGCGGACAAGGCGACCCCTGGATTCCGACATACCGACTTAGTTACTGCTTGGAGCCATCGAGCGGAGACATATGTACTTGACTAGATGGCTGTTTTATTCGCCTCCTGTGGTTCGTTTTGCAATGTTTGTAATAAAATCTCAAGAAATAGAGATCCATCGCTCCCTGTTTAATGTATTTGTTCACGCCACGACGGACTAAACGTCCGAATCTGACAGGGGCGATTTCTGTGATGCTCTAAGCACTCCCTTACAGTCTAAAAAGCTGATACGTCAGTGTGCTTGCTGGTGAACTGAACGCGTAGGCTCAGAGATTGCAAGACTTGATTGGGTGATTATCTCTGGTTGGACACGAAGTGCACGGATAACGGAGAGCGCGCGCCGTAGATGCATGCTGATCACAAACTGTTAATTAGAACTGCTGATTTCCAGAACAGCGGAAATCGTCTGACTACGTAGCTCCCAGCAAAAATCACCTCCACTGCAGTTGGCCGTTGCTGCTTCCCAGATTTGCGTAGAACATTGACAGCTCTCTCGACTGTTGGGAAGCGTCTGGCTCGAAATTCAAACTCCTCAGAACTAACTCGTCTAACGTTTGTCGGCTTCTCCACTGCCAGACTTTAGCGACTATCAGAGAGATATCCAAATTTGCACTCAATGCCGGAACTTCTACCCTGGGTTACAAACCGGTTAGCCTATTCCATCAGATATCTGGTAGGATCAGGGATTTTTCGGAGGCCGGACGACATATTTCTACGGTCCTAACCGCATTACAACTCAAAGCATTATTCGACGCAGACAGAGAAGCTTCATGGACCTAGAAGGCCGAAGGACTGGAAGCCACAGGAAATTCAGAAAATGGTTGCGGGTTATTCCATGTGGATTGTGGACTATCCCAGGAAGTCTCTTGTTAGTAAAACCTTAGTAGCTCCAGGATGTCCATCAAATGGTAAGGTTTGGCCTGCTGAACAGAATACTTCCAACAACAATTCAGTTGGCCACTCGGTACTTTCTCTCCGGACTTTCGACCTTCGGCAAAATGCGGACTGAGTGAGAACCCCCAAGCCTCATAATCCTTTGAATGCATATTCACACGTATGCGTCGCCGCTTTCCCGATTACACAAAACTTTCACCGGCTCTACTCATGGACGTTCGTGCATTCCTCAGTCAGTACCTGTCTAACGTTTTTGCGTCAGTCTGAGAGAGACTATCCAACTGAACTGGAGTGAGTTGATAATAGTGCCTACTAAAAAGGGTGTTTGTGTTATATTTAGTACCCACAGAGGTGTAAGCCTGGTTTCTTGCAGTATTGATTTTTCTGTCATCTGAAAGCAACATATGGAACTTCCATCCGTGAAGCTGGACTTTGGCCAGTCAGAGGCTGCGTCAACTTTATCTTATGTACAGGTCACAACTGTGGTTTTCCTCGACTTCAAGGGCGCGATCCGTTTTGTCGATCAGTGCGAAATGTGAAGGCACTGTTGGATAAACAGATCACCATCACCGATCATCTTCTGGCATTTAACCTCCAAAATGTGTGAATTCATGCTTCAGGATTTACAGTCTTCCAACATACCTTCTGTAATTTAAGAAGAACTGGAGGATTTAGCTAGCGTTACGCACATTATGTGTCTCGAAGGCCCGAAACACTACTGCTTTTTTACGTCATTTGTGGAGTCAAAAGGACACATCACTGGGTCCCAAGGATCTTGTGCTCCAGGCTAAACGGCTATGTTGTTATCTATTTGCCAGACCTGTCTCTGCGAGCAGACGATCTGAAGTGTCTCCATGGTTTTCGGCATCGATGTCTCGAGACTGATATCAGAAGTGGTTTTGGATGGTGTCCATGAATTCGGAAAGAAATGAGAAAAAGTATGTTTGGTTGTGCAGCGGGTACTTTATTGGTGGAAACTATATAACATTAACAACAACAGCGGCTAGGCCACCTACCGCGCATGCAGAATTGCAGTCTAGCAAATCACGTACTGATTTGATTGAGGATTGCAAAACTGACGTAGTTGCTGGCTGACATCATTTCGCACACTCTGTGTGGACCACTGCTGCCACAAAGACATAGGAAAAAAACGTGGTAAAATCATAAAAAAGATCAGCGAGATAAGGTCTTCATGTCTTCTTCGGAGCAATGCTACTCACGGGCTGAACTTGTGACTTGGTGGAAGAATCCGAAAAAGATTACAAGAAGTGTGGGTATTGGGAGCGCAGGATCTGTGTGACTTTCTGCCCTTGTCCGGAGGCGTTGAAGGAAATGGCAAATAACCTATGCCAGTGGCATTGGTTTTGTTAGTTTTTTTTAGATTATCTGAGTGAACATCTGAAAACCTGAGCATCTCAGAATGCATTAAATCGGTTGATGTCAGGTCCCTTCCGCATATAGGCTTTTTCACTCCAAGTCTCCAAATTGATTAAACAAGCTTTGTGGCTGTACGACAGTAAGGCATCAGTGTCAACAACGATATTGCTGTCTTTGGTGGAAATAATTCTATGTAAAAGTGGTGTAGGACGAATTCCGACAATCCGATCTCAAGGAAACCCTTTAAGACGAATTGAGTTTGAAGGTACAGAACTTGTTCATGAAGAAATACACCTCTTGAAGCCGAAAAAGAAAGTGCTGTCTCAGTCCATCTTCAAAAGATTACGATAAGGGTGAGACAGTGCTACTTTGCTGGGCCCGTTGACAGCTTCGCTGAACCTCGAAATGTTTACGAATTCAACCAACGTCATCCCAAGGTGATGGCTGCAGATTTTTTCAGTCATATAAGATACTTTTTTGTGTCCGCTATTCATATGAGCAACATATTCAGTCAGCTGAAGGATGCCGCGTGGATTTTTGCTATCATTTATGGATAGAAAACTCTATGTACATACAGGGGTGCTAGAATATGCAAGTGTTGCATAAAATACAATTTTCCTGTTCAGTAAGTTAGCTGAAAAATGTTCCGGTCAATCCCTCTATGTAGGGCGATCAACCCTATAAAACGCTCTAGAGCAGTGCCTCCTTAATAGAGTACCCTGAACTTTGTTAAGCATTCATGAATATGACCAGTGTGCCACCTGTCTGAAGTAAAATATAACGTTAGTTTAACGTCGGCAAAACTGTCTTTTTCGTTTGATTCAAAAGAACCACAGTTACCCCAGTCACCATCAGCCTTCGTATCTGACACTGGACTTACTGTCACGTGGATAAAAGCACAAGCCGACGAACGGCCTGATGATTTGCCACTTTTTGGAAAATTAGAGGAGGATAAAAAAAGCAAACTCAACCTTATCTTGTTCGATGGTCCGGTAATGAAAACGTTCAAGGTCCCAGTAGGAGCAAGATCTTTCAATCTCCCCGCCGACAACGTGAGGTGTGATCCAAAAGTATACATCTTTACAGAAAGCTTGGGAGGAATTTCCGATGTTGCCCCGGTCGCTGTGACGTGGACTAAACGTGAGTTGTCCTCTTTTCTAATCGTTTTATTTTAGTTTTGGGAAGCATGAGTAAAGTGAATTAGTTCACAGCTGATACTTCAGTTGGTTTTATATAATCTTGAGAAGTCTAATGGTAGTTCCGCCAGTACACCCTCTGTGGGTTTCACTTGTGTATATACCTAAAAAGAAACGAATGAACAGCTTTTCCTTGTTGTTACCTTAGCTGATCCACCCAACCTCTAAAGCTATCGCAGCTAGGTCACATGCTCTCCCACTAATGATATCGCGTTCGATTCAGGTTCAGTTATTATTAGTATTACCTACTGGTTCTAGAATACTTTTGACACGCAATCCCCGTGAACATGGTTTGAGCGAACCTAATTATGTCCTCCTGTATGATGCCAGTTAATGGGTAATATCTTTTCTACCACAATATGTCGTCTCGAAAACACCAAGTCATATTAGTTGCATGTTTGAATCGTCGCGATAAATCTATTACTTGCTAGGTAAGCATCTACAAGTTACCAGGTGAAGATGCAGACAGTCAGCAAAATAAAGCAAAAATTCGCCATATCTTTAAGCTAAGTGATGCAACCGGCTGTGTAACTGCCGGTTACAAACTCAGTCAGTTTGGCGTAAGCATCATGAAGCTGTTCAGCTTGATAAAAAATCATAGCCTCCTACTAAATAGGACCGCGGAATGCTCGTTTAGCTCTCAGTATCACGGCCAACTGAATGAATGAGCTATGTGTGACATTATCCTTTTGCTGAATGGTTTCATCGCTTGATTGTCGTGATATGTACACATAGCTGTTTAGCTCTGTGGGTACTGGTTGTCCAAGGGATTGACTAGGTATCTTTAAGGCTGGTTCGGTTGGTCGCAGGCATTTGGCTCACCTTGTATCAGTAGTACATGCGTTTGAATACAACCACCGAATATTAATTCTCTTGGTGAGAGGAATTCGTTTGCCCAAAATCGCGTAACCGATACTCAGAAAATGCAGTTAAACCTTCTTCGCATGCTCCCCTTGGGGTGTGATTAATTTTACTTTTCATATTATTCAGGTTCCCAACAGTTTTCCATCTATTCTGTCTGGTGGTCTCGATGAAAAAGGAACAGAATTTTAAAGTTTATCAAGATAAAACCGCTCATTTTTAATGGTCACTTCCCTTATGTAGTGTTTGAAGTGTCTTCTATTTCTTCTGATGTTGAAAACTTGGTTGCCAGTTACTCTAACTAGATCCCGTTAACCCTACGTGCTTTATCCACCAGGAATTCCCGGGCCTAGCACAGTCAGCGTCAACAGCCTACAGAATCGAATCGGCGAACAACTGTTGTGGCAATGGAGTCGCAGTGCATCTGGAATTGCAGACCAGTGCGGCGTTACATTTGAAGTTCGACGACGTGATCACCTCAACATGGAAGACTTTTTCCTAGTGGAAGAAAACGAAATCACTTTCACAGATTTGTCTCCAGGGCTCACCTATTCGTTCAGTGTTCGGGTGATGGTCAATTCCAACCCAGATACCGGAGAGTTCTCGTCACCCGTAACGAAAGCTCTGGAAGCACGTGCGTTCTTTATAGTTGTTCGAAAATCGCAGCCTAAGTCTTGTTTATTTTTCTCCTTTTAACATCATGAGAAAAAGGCCAGGGGTAAATCGCCGGTGATCAAGGCTGTTTTGATCCAAGAATAACGGATTCGAGTGATTTGCGAGTTCAGTCCAAGCGATGAATTTTTCGAAGGAACATTCAAGCGGTTTTATTTAAGATTATTTGTGGAATGTGATAAGCGCGAAGCGCCAAGTTCATCTGGATCGCTGCTCAAAATGTCCTTTACGAGGTGATTTAAGTACGAGGTAGCCAAATTTAGCACGACATAATTTTTGGTTATTCCGTTTTGCATCGACCTTCTTCACTTGGTGCATCCAGATGCACGTGGATTTGGGTTCACCACCTTGTCTGTCACAACCCGTGGGTTGTGAGGGTCTCTACAAAAACCGTTCTAAACGTAATCTGAAATTTAATTGGTATCCGTGAGTACCTAAATGGTCAACTTGATGCATAATATCTATTTCCGGGAGCCCCATTAACGATTCAGGTTCAGGTTTGTGTAACTCTGTTCAGACTAACATCCTTTGTCGAAATACGAGATTACAAAGAAGGCCGTTGTTAGAACCCAGGGGAGTTTCGTCTCTTACCGGATGCTGCTGGGAGCAACGTTCAGTGTAGAAAAATCTGACATTTTTACCGTCCCATAATCCATCATGTGACATGAAAAATCCCGAAGTTTCATTATTCCCGTCCTTTTTCCGGTTGTTTCCAACGCTCACTTATTGACTGATGACTGGTCTGGGTGCTTGTTTTCTTACATAACCCGACTTGTTTGCATTGGATGGATGGCCATCACAGGGTCCCATAACTACTTAGTTTACCTCATACCGATTGACATACTCTAACTATGCTGCCTGACTACAAGCGTGGGTTTCCCATCAATAGGCACTGTAAGACACACGCTTCACATAAACTGCTAGCTTACAGTGTGACAAGATCTCACTCCTTTATTGTTTTTATGTTCCCATGTTGAACCCAATGCTATTATACCGATTGTTCACGGAAGCTTGTGTTTATGCATTTGGTGTTTTCACGATGCGTTCAGTGGTGCAGACGATTCACGAAGTTAAGCCGATCACTTAGTTGTACATAACGTTAGAAAAGGTTATTAGCCATGGGAGAAAATCTGATGGCTCTGGAGATACTGATTAAAGATGAGCATATTACCCTATGAAAAAGCAGTGTTCAAATAGGTATCAGCAAAGAAATTGCCAATTGGATACATGGTTGGTACCCGAAATTGAGGACAGGACCAATGGGTAATCGGTCACAGGTGTGCACATACAGTGATGTTACGAACCATTTGGAGTGCTTAACTAGGCAGAATAACCCCTCAGGGTCACTTGCCTCTGCGGCCTAAATAGGATTATAACTGTAGGTCGTGTGTGCGATGCTGTAATCTACAAAACGTTGGTGTAAAATAGCCGCGTTGTGGAATTTTGACCTTGGTCATAAGACTTATCATCGCTGACAGTATTACACCATAAGTGAGTACTGGCGCCTAACTGCCATAAAACAATAAGGAAAGAGTAAAGAGTGAATAGAGCGGAAAGAAAAGAGAAGGGTAGAAATATAGGGCGAAGAAATCTTCTGCCCTTGAGGAACTCGATCAAGGATAAAATACCTACACATCTAAATAGCGCTAGATTAAACATTCCCGAGAATAATGTCAAATTAAGACGTCATCATTGGGGTTGGTTCAACACCCTTTGCGAACCTTAACAAACATAAGCCCAGAGCAAGCGATGGACGGTCTTTAGCTAGTCAGTCCGGCTAGGATATGGCAGCGTGCCTGTCACAGGGATTGACTGCGTGCCATACTCTGCAAGGTTTCCAACCGATAGTAAATAAAACCCCAGCAAAGAAGGTTCGAAAACACAGAGTGCTCAGCTTGATTGCAGCCGCTTTCACTTCAGATTGGCATTTCGCAGCCTGTCTCCTGCGAACCTTTCGCCCTAACTACCTGTATTGGATTGCGGTTAGGAATAAGTAGTACCTAACACACTCGCTTTAAGCTTATGAGTTTATTCCGCTGCCCTGCCATGTCAGATTAGTTATCAAGTACCCACTTACGCGTACTGGCTGTAGTCAGCCAGCTGTTGCCGTGCCACATAAACACCGGTGATCGAATGTTCAAAGACGGAATCTCACAAATATAAAGTAAGACTGCTTTGTAGCTACTTACTGTACACGGCGCTTTGGCCTCAGCGAAATTCACTACTCGACACAAATTGGCACACGCTATCCGCACTCTGATTAGCCGCGCATTAGCTTTATTTGTTAAAGTACAATCACAGCTTATGTAGCTGCTAAGCTGCGTGAATCAGTCAACAAACTCAAGTTTCCAAGAAATGCAAAAGGATGGGAAATCATGAAGAATGACAACACATCTTGAAGGTGTAAAACGCATGCCAAAACATGAGATCACCTCCGAACTCCTGGTTGAAGTACTTTTCTCGTCAAAGAACAAAACGACATCATCAGTAAGAATAGGGAATGAATAGTGTTTGGACATTTCGAGGGCATTATTTTCTAGCCTTCAAATTTGAAAGAAAACGCGATTTTTGGTCGGTTGTATACTTGGCGCTCCTTAAGCACTTGACATAATAAAATGATGCATGTATATAAAGATACAAGGATGGTATGAAATAATATGATCAGTGCACTATCCAGCTTCTAGCAGAATTTTATCTTGAAACCGAGGGCGTAAAGCTTCTTGCATTACTGAGTGACATTTATTATCTGAGATTCAGCGGCCTCCGCATAGATGCTCCTAACAAACATGCTCCCAGACAAAGTTACTGGGGTCACGTTTAACCGTGGTTATCTCATCTCAGTTACCGGTACGGTCAATGTCATTTGATGAGGTCGCTTGAATTGTGCTGCACAGAAAGCCTTGGTTCATTTCTCAAACTTGTGGCTCACAAAGCTTTCCTACCGTGTGAAGCTCATTTCCTGGATTTACCGGATAAATTTGCTGAAAGTCTGCATCTAACATATGTTGATCTTAGCCAACCGGAGTATTGCAAAGCGAGCAGTAGCTACCGACTTAGTGGTACGATCAGTAGCTGACGGCGGTGTGGTAAATTTGATTCCAAGGCTACCCAGCAGTAGCACGACGACTCCCGCAGCCTCTAACTGCAGTGCTGCTGAGATAATGTCTCAGGAGATGTCCACGGTCACCAATGTCATAAATTTAGGCTTAACATGGTTCCACTGCCTGCTTCTGATGAGCTGAGGGTTCCTACCTGTGCGCTAAAATCTCCCGCTATGACATGCACGCCAGATCTCTTCTTGGTGGGTGACGTAGTCTGTTCTCGATAGGTGTCCTTGAGTGAATCAGCAATATATTTCGTTAGTGCAAAAACGGCCACGGAAAATAAGGCACATTCGTTATTTGACCACTGTGAGTTTTATCCAAGTGGACAGTCAAACAGCACGGAGTTGGCTGCGGGCATGTATGCAGTCAAGTGTTGGAGTCCCAGCTCACGAAATTAGGGCCGTAAACTCAATTACCGGACTGGTGAATACACTGGACAGTCCATCCACCAGTTCGTTCTTCTCGGGTCTTCTCCGGTAGGTTTATTTCCCAGTCCCCAACACCTTTTTTCTACCTGAACACTCAGCTATACGAGTGCTGCGATAAATATGTAGTTTCGAATTGACCTCGTTCTGAATTTCATCTGAATCTCTCATTTATGATATTTTTAAACTGAAAGTGAGGGAGAAGCGACCTAAATGTGTTCCTTTTTCATCCAGACACAGTAGAATGAATTTGGATGGGAAACGAAAGGCCCTAAATGTTTGCATTGGGACTGTCACCTGGTTCCGTGAAGAACAATCTGAGTTGAAAGGGATCGTTGAAGAAAAACGTGCACTTGAATGACATTTCTCAACCAACTGGCAACATGCTTTTAAAGTGGCCGAAGAGTTTAAACCGTAAGCTGGAACCGATCTGGGCAAATACTTTACAGAAACCAGCCAACTTGGAATCTAATTCTTATATTACTACTAAAGAAAGTCCTAAAAATTGTGCATCACAAGAGAAGCACATTTCGAAAAAGGCTTTGTGTAAGTAAGGCTTTGTATGTAGTTATCGGGGGGATGAAGCCAGATTTGAAAAGACTCGAAACACCCTACATCTTTTTCCAACTATTTTTCGTGTAAAAGCGCAAAACCTCGTGTTTCAACCGCATATTCGGTGGGAACCTCAAGATGGAGTAGAAACAGGATTTCCTTTACCATTAAACATTAAACAGACCATAAAGATTTCCCAAGCCAGTTGCCTTTGCGCCATTCGTGAGTTCTCAGTTGTAGATCCCACTAATCCCTAAAACGAGACACCGCGTGCATATGACTTTTATCGGCATTTTAATGAGAATTAGAACTAACGAGTTGACCGCTGCATAACAGAAGAGGCGTACTGAGAGTGTACCAGGTTTGCCCATAGAAAATTGGGATTTTGGTCCCAGTTTTAGTAAACCAGAATAAATACATGTGACTCTAACTCAACATGGCTCATTTCCTTAATCATCTTCTCAGAAATCCGAACACCCCTGCCACCAGTCATCAGAGCCAGCAATAATGTTTGGAACGTAAACTGGGAGAGCCAATTCAAAACCAACACGGTTTCAGAACTGGTTCATGTGATACTTATTCACGGACATGAGATGAAGGCTATTTGGAAACCACTCAGAGAACTTTCTCACCAATTCCCCAGCCAGGAACCCCACCGGGGTGCACATTTCTTCTTGGCAATAAAAAATGTGGTCGATAGTTCGGACTATGCGCACGTGAAAGTCACGGAAAATTCCCGTAAGTTTATCTACCTACATAACAATATCGCTGTCCAAAAGGCTGCGCATTTTTGCGCCACCATGCTTGCACTGGCTAGTCCAGTTGGCTGTTAGGTTTGTGCATGTTGACTGCTTCAACGTGTAATTTGTCTACCAATTGCGATGCTGTCCCAGGTATTCGCCAACGCATGTACTCACGGATATTACGTCTAGCTTCATTAGGTGCTCAGGTTTCAGCTCCCTGTCGCAGCACCTTGTGGGTGATCTTTTATCCCGAGCAACTCTTTAATTATTTCACAGTGTACATTATGACTGAATTTGCCTGAAGCCATCAAGTTATTCCTGATTTCTGTATGTTTATATTCAACCGCCTGTGGGGAATATTTGCCGAGTGGATAGGAATAGGATTCCAAAACAGCTTTTTTGTGGCCAACTGACCACAAAGAAATGGCAGACAAAGGCTTCAATGTCTGGATGCTTTGGTCTAAGAGCTGTTGACATCGAAATGGAAGCACAAAGGAGAACGAACTGGAGGGAACAGATACAAAGTGGAGTTCGTCAGATCAGCGATCGTCAAATTCCGTCACTAAGAGACTGGGACTTACCTTGATGTGATGGTTTGTGTACCCCGTGATCGATTGAACCATACTTGTCCGTGCCACACTAAAAGGGCCTTTCGCGCTAGTTTGGCCAGTGGTTACAGGTCTGACGAACACAGCCTTCTGGTCCTCCAGGTTGGGGGTTGGAACGTGTCTGGTAATGTGTTCTCTAAAACCGTGTATACCCTATCAAACGACAACGCTTTGTGGCTAGGTTTGTCAACCGAAGGCTTCAGTTGAGGATTCTAATCGCTGTCCTGTCGAGGTTTGACTTCCTCTGAAGTATCCCAGCCAGCGTGCGTCCATCATTCCTACCTAGCAGTAATGTCATGATGGCGTGTTGAAGCTTTCCATGACGATGGTGTTGGTGATGGTGATGATGATGATGATGATGATGGTGATTATGATGATGGTAATGATGATGATGATGGTGATTATGATGATGGGTCTCCAGTTTATGACTGACACGAGACGCATTTCCGAAACTGAAGCAAACTAGTAAGTGGATCAAAGTATCCTAGAATGATTGATTATGAGACTACTTGATGAATTAGTCTACCAAAAATCTGGTTTCGATAGACTTGTGACAGAGTATCCCTCTGAGGGATATTTTCCAGTTTGATGTTAATTGGAATAAGTTGTCTTCAATGCTGTCCTTTGAATAAATTCAGAGTCTGGCAATCGTTTTTGCCTACTAGGAAGCCCAACTGCTTACATCTGTGTCTAATTTAGACTGGTACTGTGTTGCAACTTAGATCCCACCCACATATCCACAAGACAGTTTTAACAGAGCTCCCATAAATCTCCTGTGGTTTATTCGTTTCAACACCTCACGGACTGGAAGGGAGAGGACAAGAAGATCTCGAAAAGATACCCTTGTGAATGAATGTGAGACACCCCTGGTCAGAGGATGTGGCGATGGATAGCCACTACAATACCGCAGCAGCCTTTGGGGTGCAGCAAAATCATTCAGTGTACAAAATCGCCCCAGTTGCAAGGCCTTCCTCCGATAAACCTGTTACCGTTGCACGTAGGAAGTTCAACCTGTATAGGAAAAACAATGCAAAAAGAGGACTAAAAGACTTGTGATTATCATTTGGTCGATCACAAAAATAACCCAAAACAGCATGTCGTAAGGCCTGAGGGGCAAACCACGTAGGTGGGGTTCGAGCATTCATCAACTGCCATCATTCCAGCAGTCAGGTTTACACCTTTCTGTGCAACGATTGCTGGCCGATCCTTTGTCCACTCTTGTTGGTCGATTCCAGTCAATAGGAAGCAGACAGTTGAGTGCTTAATAGTCGAGAACTCCTAAACCCAAATTGGCTGCGCATATGACAAGGCCTGTTGATAACTGGGAAGGTGTCAACATCAAATGACATGACCTCATTCTGATTGAAAACCAGAGTTTCACTCATCTAACAGCATCCGGAACTTACCCATAAAATAGCACTCTGTGTATAGGCCACTTTAGATATAGTCTTCGTAAACCCTGGTTATTCGAATTTATTTCTCTTTCTATACCATTCTGCTTTCCAGCCGGTTTTCGTTCCATGTCTTGCTTTGAATTCAGTGGTCTAGTTAAGGTAGTTTCTTCCTCAAGAGCGGGACTGCCTAGCAGCCGAAACCAAAGAACAACCAACAATTTTGGTGTCACACAGTCGGATATAACTTCATCTGAGAGGATAGTTAGAAAAAACGTTCAGAAAAGGCTAGAAGGTCCGCAAATTATTATAGACCTATATCCTACACCAGTGAACAATTATGCAAAATTAGTGATTCCATTTTTTGGTTATCAATACAACTATTCTTGCATTCTACCCCATTTTAGTCTTTTCAGTTGAACCAACTCAAGAGGGCTTCCATATTCTCAGTATGGAAAACAACTTTGGCCATCACATCACTTGGTCCATCAGTGGGACCAGTGAAAAATCCCCCTGCCAAGATAACCATTTTCGTCTGATCAGACGAAAAATGACCGGTTTCGCACCACCCGAGTTGTACACCGTTCCATCAAAAGAACTCCTTTTATTTGACCTTGAACCTGGAATGTTTTACAGTTACAAAGTTCAACGTTACGCGAACGCTATGGATTACGAAGCGTTCACGGATCAGCTGGTCGTCGAAACGCCGCGTGGTGAGTGTAAATGTGTTAGTAGGTCAATAAAACTTCATATTTAGTCCATTAATTCCCTTAGTCATACACAATTCAGCGTGGTTCTGAATCACATCAAAATTAGCAACACACCAGAATACGATAGGCAAAAAATCGCTGATTAGGTAGTTCCCACTGTGACCTCACTCGAACAAAATCTCAGCTCCTCGAGTCCCCTATATTTAGAACCATGCAACGATTAAGCATAGATTATTTCGGATAAAATTTCGAATCCCCAACCTTCGATAATAAGCAGGTTCTTTGCCGAATTTATTCACAATATTGACACTTATCTGGGAATTCCTTCAGGTCGTACTCGATGAGCTAGACTGCGAATTGGTCTGAAAGGTTGTTTTTAATCCGCTACGAAGAGACTGAACAACCTGTGGCGTGAGGCTGTATGTGTCTCCATGGTCCTTTAATCTATACCGGAGGGCACCCGTGAGACAGTCGTAGTCTGTCATACCAGGTTGTTCGATCTTTGAAGGTTTAACCAACGTAATCTTCTGACCCACTCGTTTGGAGATTGGAGTGTGCGATGGCTTGTTCCCTAAAAACGGTAATGCACCTACACTGTCTGTCAAATACCGCTGCCTTGCAGTCAGGCATCTGTATCAAAGGCTTTGATCAAGGACCCCCTGTTGTCGTCAGTCTAGAACTGGGCGCCCAAGTACAGCCACGATACCTGCACTATCACATAATTCCATGTTACCTAGGCCGTCAAGCTGTGTCATCAGCCGAATCGCCTTACTCGTTGCATACAGCTGGGTGGGTAAGCAAAAACAGGCTACTTCTCTTTTAAGCTTTTTACTATTCATTCCTCTAGCCCATGATTAACTATCCACTTGTAGGCATTTTCAGTTAGCAGTGATGAATCCTTTCGTCCTCCATCGGTTTTGCAAACAAGATCTGCTAGGTGCTGACGTCCAAAGAAAGCTTAATTTAATTTTTAATCCATCTGACCTGCTTCAATCTTTGCACTCCGAAGCTAGCAGATCAACAATTTTCTCTTGCTCTCACAATGGACTCGCTGGGTGTTGATGTGTGCTGTGTATCAGAAACATGAATTCAAATTACAAGCACAGTGGTTGACCTAACTACCCCATCACTCTCCACTCAATTCCGGCTGAGCCCTTCTGGATCTCCAGAAGCCGCTGCGGCAAGGTGTGCAGGGGTTAGAAGGATCCTTGCTTGACTGAATATCGTTGATAATCACCTCTGTGTGGTTCATTTGGCAACTTCCCTGAGGGTGTCTCACAAGCGAGAAGTTGATCGATGTCTGTGTGTCCCAGCGACTGTTGCTCTGACACCATCAAAGGAAAGTTTCATGACGCTTAAAATGCGTTGTTGCCATAACCTGGAGGATCAGAAATCGTGATGGTTGCCAGATATCCAGATAAATAAGTGAGCAGGCTTAGCGCATCAGTTAGGCTGCCAAATACTGTCTAGGCCAATTGGGAACAATCCACAGTGTGCACTATGGATGACCCTACGTTTGTTCGACCATTCCCTTCTGAGAATTTTTGTCTTTGAAACTAAAAGTAAGGNGGAAGAGCCAACTGTATTGTGAGATAGCTTCCGCAATCTTTGCAGGAAAATACCAAGGTCTTGGTCTATCTTTCAGCTTTCTGTCACACTGCTGGGCACTCACTTTCTATCTGCAAAGTGCAAGGAACTACTTGAGGCTGTGCAGAATCAACCCTGAGTCTCACGCTTCCTGACAAGCCAGCCTGGACTGGTGGCAAATAGAATCACTCCTGGAACTGATAAGGCGACGGTCGCTTCTATCCGCATCTGACACTCATGGTGACGGCAGGGTCTGTAAGAGTCACAGTGTGGATTACTACAGTATTAGTAATATGGAATACAGGTGTGATCATTTTGCACTGGAAACAGCGTTTCCGAAGCACCGTTCTGGTCTAGTAGACGTATAATGTCAGTAATTCAGACACGAGCGAGATGGATTTATCAAGACGACTCTGTTACTATAGATATTTCACTCCTTTTAATAGGTCATGTTCTTTAGGCCATGAACTTTATAAATTGGTGGGTCGTTCATACTGCGGGGCCCTTCTGATCAAAAATGAGTATACATAGACAACTGAATGGCAGATATACTACGGACTAACAACGTTTTCTGTTTCACGGCTGATGTCTCCCTGATTTAAGATTTTCTAGACCAGACATTCCACTGTTATATGATACTGGCAGACGATATATTTATACCAACAGTGGCACACCGTTATCCTAGTTGCTGCCTTCATTGCATGGCTGTCCAAATTTCTATTTCATCAGATACCCTGAAAACTTATTCCCAGGGACTTCCACTGCTCTTTTTCCTACACGTTTTGGCTTCGCAAACGAACGTTTACTCTGCTAGCTTGTAATAGTTGGTGACGTTTTTGTGTATTCCTAAAGTCAGAGCAAGACTTTCGGATTGCTGACCATGACGCACCTGTCTGTGGAGGTCGCCACCTTCTCAGAAAACTATTTACAAGAATATGGTAGAATTTTATTTATGGGAAAATTTGGCGTATCTGTGACAAAAGTTGCAGAAAACTCAAATTAGAATTGTAAATGCGAATAGAAAGTACGACGATAAATCCCAATGTTGCATGACAGAATTATCGTCATGTCTTTATGTAGTGTTCTAGACCCCTCACGCAGTGTGGCTGATGGAAAGTGGGGCAATCCGATCTAGACAATATCTCAGCACAGAGTTTCATGTTTTCAGTTAAGTCAATGCGTATTTCTCGATCAAACAAACCAGTGAATAAGTACTTATATGTATTAATCATAGGGGTTTCACCTTAAATTTTAAACACAGTTCCGAAGGAAATCCCGCTGTCAGCATTAGATATTCAGCCCGATAAAGTGGTATTCAACTGGACCGAATACAGCTCTGAAAGTCCTGAGATCTTTACTGTGCAGATATGGACAACAGATTCTGGTAGCCTACTAAGCTATACAGAGCTACGCGCCAAACCTTTCGTCCAAATTAACTTACCCACAAGCGAACGTCTACAAGTCTATGTTACCGTGAAAAATGTGGCTGGACGTTCTCCTTTCCTTCGAATCCCCATGGAAAGCCATTCGAGTAAGTTTTCTTGACACGAAAATACAAATACGAATTTTCCAAGCCATGTCTCACTTGTGCAGATCAATCTTTCACGACCAGCAGTCCTACTTCATACCGCAACCAATACTACTAGCTTAATGATTACTCTAATTGGGGCAGATGCAGAACTGATGCGCATGAATTTATGTTCACATCTATATGGGAACCATTAGGCAGTGCTTGACAGACTACAATGTTAAGCGAATCTCACTGCTGAACAGTCTATTACAGAACGTTTGACAATCAAATTCTCGCCTCCTTATATTGTGTCCATGAAATTGACTTTATGGAGGTAGTCCAGTGGGAAACGTTTCGATTGCACAAAGTGTAGGCCTACTCCTACCTGTCTTCTGCTCTCACTCTATCTAACCAAATGTGAGTTCTCTCAGCTGATCCTTCCAAGGGAAGGCAACCGCATCTTACGCGGACTGGCTCGGGATTTTTAAGAGTGGACAAATAACAAGCTCAGCTACTCGCATAATTACAACAAAGTACAACAAAAGTACTCTAAAATCCTGTGATCAAATATCAGTGCATCCTAAATTGTGCATCAAGGTTGTTATGGGTCCAAATTTATTCGAGTCAATCGAGATAAGGTCGTAAAGTTTCGGACGTTAATCCAAAGCTGGGTGTCTTACACGGACCAACCTTGGAATCGCCATCTTTCTAGGGCAATTAGAGCAATACGGTTGACAGAATTCAATGCTTATTGATAAACCTGGATGGATACAATCAATTTCAAACTGATTTAGTTTTCACAGGAGACCCAACTGAATCTCTAGTTTGTGATCTCGTTTAATGATCTGTTTCAAGACCCTAAACCGGATGTTTAGTGCGAAGATTATTGCTACATTCGGTCCGACCAGCTTTCGAGATATAAGATATTTTTCCATATAGATATTACTAAGAGCGCTAAAGGGAACTCGTTATTGGTGTATTTACCAGCAACAACTGATTCAGCTTGAGAGGCAACGATATTTTTGCATACAAAGTTATGATCATTTAGTCTGGTCACTTCTACTAAGTACGAGCGTTTAAACATTCCCACTACAATGTTCGCCAAATACATCAAGATTTTACTGTCCTAATAAAACAGGAGAAACTGAGAAGTAGATCTCCTTGTGAAGCACAGTTATTTCCAGTCATTATCTATAAAACCTCTGGAGGGGTACCATGTGCGACTTTGGCAAAAGAGCCATAAACATGGACCATCATTTGGAAACGGATGTAAACTAGGCTGTGACATGGTATGAAACCCAAAGCAAGGATACTGACGTCACGTTAAATGCCCTTAAAGCAAAAGTGAACCATTCAGACAATGCGTTTTTCAAAGCACATGAAGAAGGCGAAATTTGTTTTACCAAAATGCAGCACAATCTACTGTTTTTTTAAATACATGTAACACAAAAAACTAGATCACTCTGAGACAGTGACGCACACCGTGTGAAATGAGTTAACGCAACTGAGTTAACTCATAATAATATTTGGGGTGATCCAGTCATACAACTGCTTCCCCACAGCTAAAAGATTGCAGAAATCAAAAGGGCTTGTTCACGCAGAACAAACGGCTGTTGTGTTCATCGTAACAGCAAGGCGATTTTCTGTAGATAACTACATTTAGATGTTCGATTTCCGTTTAATCTTTAAGTTTTATCATCCCCTACCATTCATCATCATTTTCATCATCACATGTGTTCAGAAATGACACCGTTCTATACTACTCTAACCTTGCTGCTAATAGATTGTCATTAGCCGTATCCTATTCATGATTATAGCCAGTTATTTTTTGTGTTTTAATCTGATTTGTGGCAGTCCCAATTCCAACCAAGGTAAAGGTGATTGCTCACACACAGAAATTGGCGCACATATTGACTTGGGATGTTGAACCCTTTGGGATCGGAACTTGTTCGAAAATATCGTTTAACATCACACAAAAGGCGACCTATGGTAACGATGAATCAGAAGAGTTTTACTACGTTACCGAAGCAAGACAGCTGACAGTTGATGAATTGAAACCCAATACTCTCTATGAGTACAGGGTACAAACCATTTTGGGAGGGCGATTCGCCGGGAATTTCTCCGCCCCTGAAAAAATACTCACACCAAAAGGTAAATATACATATTGTTGCGTAAACTACACCACGTTTTTTTATATCAGAGCAGGTTCACTCTGTCAAAGTGTGTGCGAATTTATAGAACTAATCATCTTGCTAGCTGGAGCTGGTTATTTTTTTCCTAAGTGAAGACCTGTTTTTTCAAGAATATGTACAATCGGAATCAAATAATGTTTAAAATATCCTATTCTGATGAGAAAAGTTGACACAAATAAAATACCAAGTCCCCCGTGTTGCTTGACTTGAATTCTCTAAAACAGGTGTTCTCTTATGGTCTCTTGTTTTTGAAAGTGGGGCTGAGTCTCTTCTAAATGTCATTCTTGATATACCCTAAAGGATCAGCCATTTTGTTCCATTTTCAAACAAGTAAATTGAACTTTTCTACTGTTGTAAACTTGTTTCCATATGGAAAATTTCGACCAACAACCAATGTTTTGATGAGGTTCTATCCCACGAAGATAGAAGCTTATCTCAGAGCCTAATATACTGGTACGAGAATGGTGGACATGCCATCCTTCTGGACTACTTCATTTCCCTCTTTAGTTCACTGCAAAATAGATGTAAACTGGTCTGAAAGTCATAAAGCGAAGGTTTAGTAGATGTCTGTGCCGCATCTAGAACACCCAGGTCGGCTGTTCCGCAACCAACAAGTTGTTGTACCCACGTGAAATCGTGTAGTTGAAAATTTCACGGATTCCCAGCAGTTGTATCTCCTGTCCTGAGTGACCTTCGTCATTGAAAATCTCTGATAGTAAATGAATTTTCTGCCCTGGTGCTGGTTTTTACCATGCGCTGGTGGTTACTCACGTAAAATTTTGTCTCCTTCTTACAGTATTTTGTCGTGCATTAACAGGCATTCATAATTGATCATGCGTCATCCTTTTCGGGGCTGTTCTGCTTCCTCGGCTTCATATTCCACTGTTTGACCACACACGGTTCATTCCGAACGTTTAAGTGTTCAAATTACCAACAAGGAGGTTGTGGGTTTAAAAACTTCTTGGTGTTTTGTGAGCTGTACGCTGCTACTGGCTCCCAGTGGTGATGAAACAGCTGTAAAATGCTCCTCGGTTTTTCCGTATAGGTTGGTTTCGCTTACACGACGAAATCTCAGTTGAGAATTCCTAGATCTCCTCAAACTATCTCGCAAGAGTTTCACCTGATAGTACTTTCAATCAATATGTGATCGCTTGATTTGGTTTTTGTGGTCGAAGGATGAATGGCACTATGTCCTCTCTAAGTGAGATCAACCTGCTGTTCAGCCAGTCGTGACCGAAAGGTTAGGTTTTCACTCAGATGCACCAGACTGATAATTTCCAGTAAGAATGAAACGATCGTACAACATTCCTCGGCATTTTAGCATACATTGACTTCGATTTCAAGTTGAAATCTCATCTAGCATAGGTAAGCCCATGCTGTTGAATCACCTACTTACTTATCGTTAACCATAAATTCACGCATGATCAGTAAACCAACAGCTGGCGGTGATTTTTAATAAATTTGGTTGAGAACACCCAGATAATGATGCTTTGGAGCATGTCAAGTGCTCCAAGAGTATCCTAAACAACCAGAATCAGGTTAATCTTGTGACCAGTTTACCGTGTGGGTTAATTTGTAACAGAACATCGAGTTGTGCCTTGGAACGGTTAAATTTAGGGGAGAAAATTGGAACTCAGCGGGGGAATTTCGAGGAAAGACAGTTCGCACCGTATTCCGATGAAATAATGAGCCGGTTCTGATAGGAAACCCAAACTAGTCGAAAGTTATGGCACGACTCGGTCCGGCGTTCTAGGATTTAGTGGAACTTTATGTTAGAGGCATTAACTCATGCAACAAACTGAACTACTTCTTCCTGAAGAAGGTCGCGAAACTAACTGAAAGTCTCTTTTTCCACCTTGATACAACCCATCTGCCAAGGATAGCAAATTCAGTAGAACACTTTTTTAACAAAGTTACTACATGGGACATGTTTTTGAATCGCGATGAGTACCTTTCATATTGTGATTCGAGATTGTGGTTGCAGTGAAAGTTTGCTACAGCACAATCGATCAGTTTGGAAAATTCGCACCCTTTATAAATAACAAACCACTAATTTATTTATTGAGTAGTTTTCTGTCTGGGGGAAAGTACACTTCCTGCTACTGGAATATGCGAATTCAAGCCATCCAGCTTTTATGACGCACGAATAAGATTTCGTCAAGAACCGTCCTGGTGGCACACTGGTGAGGCAACACGAATGACAAATATATTCCACATCAGTTTCTTCCCACGAAAAGCCTTAAAGTGATGTACTGAGAAACTTTACTGATATGGCTCTCACTATAATTAGTCTGTAGAAACGAATTTTGGTGTAGAGTCTGCCGTTCATCACACCGTCAATGTCTGTTAGATTGTAAGGAAGAAATGATCCCCCTGTTTTGAGAGACAACCTGGTCTCACCGTAAGCAAAGTTTGGAGAGAACCGCACTGTTACAGATTAGGAAATAATTCGAGAGTATTGCCAGCTGGTCGCCACAACGCCAAGCGGTATCAGTTTGAATCACTTCATTTCCGTAAAAAAGATTTGTTCCGGATACAGAAGGACTGTCGGAAATTGATTCCTGGTCGAATGGATTTCACCAACAAAATATGTTCTAGGTGATCAGAATGAAGTATTTTCTACTCAGGACTGAGTTTCCCTGATAATGAGGATAAGCATAGATCACAAAGCGATACAGATAAAATCGTGCGAGGAAATCGTGGCATAAAACTTCACTTGTCCCAGATGAAGCTTGATCTCCATTACAGTGATTGAGATTTGATTTATGGCCCAATCCGTCAGAAAACTACACAATACTTTGCCTCAAAGAAAATGTCATAGAAACTTCCTTGTCCGCCATGACTTAATGCAACGTTTCCCTGTCTCAAGAGGGTCATTCCCAAGAGTGGCTGGAATAACTTTGCCCCTCCAAGAGTATTTATTAGTGTATACAAACTCGTGCCAATTTTCACCAGAGATTCTCAGTGTGACTCAAACAGGGCTTCTTGACGGTCAGTATATCATGTTAGTTTGGACCATTTTGTCTGCCCGAGTGCCGATAAGACACAATGGTCGAAGTGAAGCAGAATGGATTCTTCATAGTACTGTCATACAAATGAAAAATAGATTAACAGAGCTTCTATGTTTGTTTCCAAACTCCAGTTTCAATTTATTCTTCAGCTCAAAAGGAATTCTCATTCGTTGAATTAAAGTGTCTTACAGACTTGAAGCGTTGAAGCACTGAATCCTGCGGAATATTTTGTATACTGCTTTTTGACTCAGCAGTTTTCTGAAGAAATAAGACCGTCTTCATTGTGTTCATTACAGCTTTTAAGCCCAGCCCGCTCATCTACGGTAACTTAGCGGTCTCACCATTCTTATTTCAAAGAGTACTGTTGTATTCAGTAATGAGCAACGTATAATTGTGTTACATGACTGGAAAGGTGCAATGATTTCAACTGATGGGCATTCCATTTACTAGCTTTTGCTGGCCGGTACCGAAAACATGTGAAAATGCTCTCTGCCTAAAATTGAGTAATAACAAGATGCATGTGGTTGGGCCAGTTTCTGAGTTTTTTTTAGTTTGGTAGTTTCCTTGCCTAGAAATTCACCTCGTAAGATATGTCATTTGGTAAGGCTTTGTGGAGTAGGGCCAAGTTGATAATCCATGAAGTGCGGTAAAAATATAGAAGAAACACATGACTTCCAAAGTGCTCACTGAACCGCACAAACAAGCTGTCTCCTGTTTTGCCCCTGATATCCGAACGAAAGGAGATGGAGAGCAGGTAAGTGATGACAGCCATATTAGCACAAACTGGATTATTTGTGAACACGTTTGCCTGCTTCCGAATGCACAAATTCTGTCATTGATTTTCTCGCCAAACTGGGTGGTCCGGTTAGAAAACCACTGAAGGTTGATGGTGATTGTTTTCGGGTTGCTCTGTTCCATTGGCTGTCTAAGATCATTTGGGGGTCATGTGAATCTAGGCATTGTGGAGTTGGCTGCCCATTTGAAAGCCTGTGGGCTAAACTATCATCAACAAACTGCACTTTGCAAAACAAACACGAGAACCGATATGCTACAGCCCAAATGAATTAAACACTGTGACGCTCTCCAAATGAGCGCTTGTGACGGCAAA